GCAAAAGGAAGCCTCTGCATTCTTGTCAAATATGTAAACAGCATGTTTTTGCAGGTGCTAAAAAACAGACTCTGAGTGTGTGTGTGTGTCTGTGTGTGTGTGTGTGTGTGTGTGTGTGTGTGTGTGTGTGTGTGTGTGTGTGTATGTTGGCGTGTGTGTATATGTGTGTGTATCCTGCAGTACTCTGTACTCCTGCAGTGGCCAAAAAGACTTTTAAGAATGTGGATTTTTGGGTCATCTTTGGCGCCCCCTAGAACTGCAGTACTCTGTACTCCTGCAGTGGCCAAAATGACTTTTAAGAATGTGGATTTTTGGGTCATTTTTGGCGCCCCCTAGAACGTAAACCGTGGGGTGCAGCGTCATGATTTTTACAACTTTGAATGGGCATGGGGTGTAGATTGCCCTGAGCAAATTTGGTATCGGTGGGACGAAAGCCTTAGGAGGAGATAGCCACATTCCAATGTGTGCGAATCGGCAAAAAATGCAAAATAGCCCTTTAACCGTACATTATACAGATACGCGCTCTTTGACTTTTTCGTAGATCTAATTGAGATACACATGATTGTCAATTTTTGTGTCAATATGACAAAGCGTTCAGGCGTGACACTCAACAATGTGTATTTTTATGTAAGGGGACAAGAAAAAATTGACTTTTTTCTCCTTCCATGGGGGGGCGCTCTTTTGGGGAGTAAAAATTCCTTCACAAATGTGTTGATGGCTGGACATTGCATCATCCTAGAAAACTTGGAGGCCAGTGAGGACAAAAATAAAAAGTTATAAAACATTTAAGAATGTGGATTTTTGGGTTATTTTTGGCGCCCCCTAGAACCTAAACCATGGGGTGCAGCATCATGATTTGAATAACTTTTAATGGCCATGGGGTGTAGATTGGCCTGAGCAAATGTGGTGCCGGTGGAACGAAAGCCTTCGGAGGAGTTAGCGAAATTCCAATGTGTGCGTATCGGCAAAAAATGCGGAATAACCCTTTAACTGTACATTTGACAGATACGCGCGCATGGACTTTTTTGTAGATCTTATTGAGTTACATGTGTGTGTCAATTTTTGTGTCATTTTGACAAAGCGTATAGGCGTGACACTCAACAATGTGTATTTTCACCTTAGGGGACAAGAAAAAATGGACTTTTTTCTCCTGCCATGGGGGGGCGCTCTTTTGGGGAGTAAAAATTCCTTCACAAATGTGTTGATGGCTGGACATTGCATCATCCTAGAAAACTTGGAGGCCAGTGAGGACAAAAATAAAAAGTTATAAGACTTTTAAATATGTGGATTTTAGTGTTATCTTTGGCGCCCCCTAGAACCTAAACCTTGGGGTGCAGCGTCATGATTTTGATAACTTTTAATGGCCACGGGGTGTAGATTGGCCTGAGCAAATGTGGTGCCGGTGGAACGAAAGCCTTCGGAGGAGTTAGCGAAATTCCAATGTGTGCGGATCGGCAAAAAATGCGAAATAACCCTTTAACCGTAATTTTGACAGATACGGCCGCACTGACTTTTTTGTAGATCTTATTGAGATACATATGTGTGTCAATTTTTGTGTCAATATGACAAAGCGTACAGGCGTGACAGTCAATAGTGTGAATTTCCACCTTAGGGGGCGCTATGGAGCCATTTTGCATTTTATTGTTTGGGCGACTTCGGAATATCGAATTTTTCACCAGGCCCGGTCGTCCTGCCAAATTTCATGAGTTTTCGCCAGTGGGAAGTGGGCCATTTTCCAGTTCAAAGGGGAGGAAAAAGAAGAAAGAAAGAAAGAAAGAAAGAAAGAAACAAAGAAAAACCTCTTGGGGAATAATAGGGCCTACGCCCGGCTGCTCTGCAGCTGGCTCGGGCCCTAACTAGGACCCCGTTGGGGCACTGGCGGGCCCGAGCTGTGTCGCGTCCCCCCCCCAACGCGCTGCCTCCCCGTCCCATTTGTGTCCTCTGGCCATCGCCCTCTCTGGTAACGCCCATCACTGCAAAGACCCTTTTCCTTCATCGGCGTTTGCTGTTCTTCCTGCCAGTGCGTGTTGCTTTCACTTACACTTGCCACAGCCAGCCTCTTGAGTGCCTAGCCTATTGGATATCACTGTCACCTACTCAGGACAGTCATTACCTTTCTATTAATACTTTGTTTTTTAATTTCACATTAATTTCCATATTGTATAAACAACTGGAAAAAACTTGAGCCCCTGCCCCTGTATAATCATGTGCACGTCTCTGTTCTAGCTCTAAGGTGAATCTTCACTGCTCATGTTCTCCTCAGAAGCAGTCACCTCACTCCCCTCAGGTTACTGTACACATGCACCAACTGCCTGCTTCAGGTTTGGATGGAGCTTCATGGTTGTCTTTTGGAGAAATGACCAGTCAAGTTGTGTTTGAAATTTGATTTTTTTCAGGGGCAAAAGGAGCCTCTGCATTCTTGTCAAATATGTAAATAGCATGTTTTTGCAGGTGCTAAAAACCAGACTCTGAGTGTGTGTGTGTGCGTGTGTGTGTGTGTGTGTGTGTGTGTGTGTGTGTGTGTGTGTGTGTGCGTTCAAGTCACATGACATATTTAACCGGATGTAGCTGCAAGACGGAGCCTCGTTGACTCCGTTTCAACTTATCTCAAAAGTGAGGACCTCAACCTATATACCAGTTTTTAAATTGTGTTGATAGGCCAAATAAAACCAGAGTTATGATAAATTATGTCCGCGATACTTTTTTTCTGCTTATTTTGATCACGTTCGGCGCTCGATCGCGCTGTATGAGACAGGAAAACATAGCATGCAGACATTAGCGACAGGTCTTACAGGCGGAAAAGGCTTGCCAAAGGAAAAAAAAAACACACCACAACATCTCTCCTATTGGTGGAAAACTTCACCACAACAACCAATCCAAAATTATATGGTGACTGATTGACAAGGGGCGGGCGCTTACGTTCTTCCTGCAATATGAGAAGGGAGGGAGGGACTCTCAGCAGGGATGCAGTCTGGGACACGTAGTTGCAAACCTAGCGACTTTGTTGTTAGATTCAATGACTTTTCAGACCCCCTAACGACTTTTTTTTTTAGAAAGAAAGTGACTTTTATCGACTTCTTCTGGAGTTTAGAGACTCTGACATGAAGCAGGCTTTCCTTACTGAGGAGTTAGCAACGCTGCTAAGGGTGCAGAGCCACACATGCGCTCCGAGCTCTGCATGGGAGACTGAAGCTGACAGAGCTGCAGCAGTTAGCAGGTTTCACCCTCAGAGACCACCAGGGGTTCATGTTGAGGCATTTTCAGTTTTTTTTTTTTTTTGCCATAGACACTGTCAGCACAATCTGCAGTTACACTAACAAAAATGCTGCAAAAAACAAAGAATTATGGAAAAATTACACATGGACTAACATAGAGGAGGATATACACAAGTTTTTTACATCATGTTTTACATCATGCATCATTTACATCATGTTTTTTTGTAGTGGCATAAATAAAAAGTGACATTTGTGAGACTATACAGTGTTTTGTAAATAATTTTACAAAGAACACCTGGGCCATTGCCTGCATTTTGATGTAAATAGAGGTAAATTACTATGTTCTTTGTTAAAAATTTGCATATGTTTTGAAGTTTACAATTTTTATTTGAAGTTTAAGTTTTAAAAACAGTTCATCACACATATTTGTGGTTTTCACAGTAAAAACGTTACTTTTTTCCACTCGGATTTTATGTTTTGTGTGTGAATTTGGGTCCAATGTGTAAATATAGTATGTCAAAATGATAAAATAACTGTAAATTGACACAGGTGAGGTTGTGCTGAAAAAAATGATACCAGGCAAGGCAAGGTAAAAATTTTGTAAGAGGAAATATAAAGGTAAAATCTAAAGTAGTCAAAAACGGCCAATAGTGACTCACAGACTCCACAGACAAGTCCCTTTGGCGCCACTCAGTGGGCAAAACTACTTTGTCTACTGTAATGTATATTTGGGTCATCTTTGGCGCCCCCTAAAACGTAAACCGTGGGGTGCAGCGTCATGATTTTTACAACTTTGAATGGCCATGGAGTGTAGATTGGCCTGAGCAAATTTGGTGTCAGTGGAATGAAAGCCTTAGGAGGAGTTAGCGAAATTCCAATGTGTGCGAATCGGCAAAAAATGCAAAGTAGCCCTTTTACCGTACATTATACAGATACGCGCTCTTTGACTTTTTCGTAGATCTAATTGAGATACACATGATTGTCAATTTTTGTGTCATTTTGCCAAAGCGTACAGGCGTGACAGTCAACAATGTGTATTTTCACCTTAGGGGACAAGAAAAAATGGACTTTTTTCTCCTGCCATGGGGGGGCGCTCTTTTAGGGAGTAAAAATTCCTTCACAAATGTGTTGATGGCTGGACATTGCATCATCCTAGAAAACTTGGAGGCCAGTGAGGACAAAAATAAAAAGTTATAAGACTTTTAAAAATGTGGATTTTTGGGTTATCTTTGGCGCCCCCTAGAACGTAAACCGTGGGGTGCAGCGTCATGATTTGAATAACTTTTAATGGCCATGGGGTGTAGATTGGCCTGAGCAAATGTGGTGCCGGTGGAACGAAAGCCTTCGGAGGAGTTAGCGAAATTCCAATGTGTGCGAATCGGCAAAAAATGCGGAATAACCCTTTAACCGTACATTTGACAGATACGCGCGCATGGACTTTTTTGTAGATCTTATTGAGATACATGTATGTGTCAATTTTTGTGTCATTTTGACAAAGCGTACAGGCGTGACACTCAACAATGTGTATTTTCACCTTAGGGGACAAGAAAAAATGGACTTTTTTCTCCTGCCATGGGGGGGCGCTCTTTTGGGGAGTAAAAATTCCTTCACAAATGTGTTGATGGCTGGACATTGCATCATCCTAGAAAACTTGGAGGCCAGTGAGGGCAAATATAAAAGGTTATAAGACTTTTGAAATATGTGGATTTTAGGGTTATCTTTGGCGCCCCCTAGAACCTAAACCGTGGGGTGCAGCGTCATGATTTGAATAACTTTTAATGGCCATGGGGTGTAGATTGGCCTGAGCAAATGTGGTGCCGGTGGAACGAAAGCCTTCGGAGGAGTTAGCGAAATTCCAATGTGTGCGGATCGGGAAAAAATGCGAAATAACCCTTTAACCGTACATTTGACAGATACGCCCGCACTGACTTTTTTGTAGATCTTATTGAGATACATGTGTGTGTCAAATTTTGTGTCATTTTGACAAAGCGTACAGGCGTGACACTCAATAGTGTGAATTTTCACCTTAGGGGGCGCTATGGAGCCATTTTGCATTTTCTTGTTTGAGCGACTTCGGAATATCAAATTTTTCACCAGGCCCGGTCGTCCTGCCAAATTTCATGAGTTTTCGCCAGTGGGAAGTGGGCCATTTTCCAGTTCAAAGGGGAGGAAAAAGAAACAAGAAAAAATGGACTTTTTTCTCCTGCCATGGGGGGGCGCTCTTTTGGGGAGTAAAAATTCCTTCACAAATGTGTTGATGGCTGGACATTGCATCATCCTAGAAAACTTGGAGGGCAGTGAGGACAAAAAAAAAAAGTTATAAAACTTTTAAGAATGTGGATTTTAGGGTTATTTTTGGCGCCCCCTAGAACCTAAACCGTGGGGTGCAGCGTCATGATTTGTACAACTTTGAATGGCCATGGAGTGTAGATTGGCCTGAGCAAATGTGGTGCCGGTGGAACGAAAGCCTTCGGAGGAGTTAGCGAAATTCCAATGTGTGCGGATCGGCAAAAAATGCGCAATAACCCTTTAACCGTACATTTGACAGATACGCCCGCACTGACTTTTTTTTAGATCTTATTGAGATACATGTGTGTGTCAATTTTTGTGTCAATATGACAAAGCGTACAGGCGTGACAGTCAATAGTGTGAATTTTCACCTTAGGGGGCGCTATGGAGCCATTTTGCATTTTATTGTTTGGGCGACTTCAGAATATCGAATTTTTCACCAGGCCCGGTCGTCCTGCCAAATTTCCTGAGTTTTCGCCAGTGGGAAGTGGGCCATTTTCCAGTTTAAAGCGGAGGAAAAATAATAATACTAGGACCCCGTTGGGGCACTGGCGGGCCCGAGCCGTGTCGCGTCTCCCCCCCCCCCCCCCCAACGTGCTGCCTCCCCGCCCCATTTGTGTCCTCTGGCCATCGCCCTCTCTGTTAACGCCCATCACTGCAAAGACCCTTTTCCTTCATCGGCGTTTGCTGTTCTTCCTGCCAGTGCGTGTTGCTTTCACTTACACTTGCCACAGCCAGCCTCGTGAGTGCCTAGCCTATTGGATATCACTGTCACCTACACAGGACAGTCATTACCTTTCTATTAATACTTTGTGTTTTAATTTCACATTAATTTCCATATTGTATAAACGACTGGAAAAAACTTGAGCCCCTGCCCCTGTATAATCATGTGCATGTCTCTGTTCTAGCTCCAAGGTGAATCTTCACTGCTCATGTTCTCCTCAGAAGCACTCACCTCACTCCCCTCAGGTTACTGTACACATGCACCAACTGCCTGCTTCAGGTTTGGATGGAGCTTCATGGTTGTCTTTTGGAGAAATGACCAGTCAAGTTGTGTTTGAAATTTGATTTTTTTCAGGGGCAAAAGGAGCCTCTGCATTCTTGTCAAATATGTAAATAGCATGTTTTTGCAGGTGCTAAAAACCAGACTCTGAGTGTGTGTGTGTGTGTGTGTGTGTGTGTGTGTGTGTGTGTGTGTGTGTGCGTGTGTGTGTGTCTATGTGTGCGTTCAAGTCACATGACATATTTAACCGGATGTAGCTGCAAGACGGAGCCTCGTTGACTCTCCGTTTCAACTTATCTCAAAAGTGAGGACCTCAACCTATATACCAGTTTTTAAATTGTGTTGATAGGCCAAATAAAACCAGAGTTATGATAAATTATGTCCGCGATACTTTTTTTCTGCTTATTTTGATCACGTTCGGCGCTCGATCGCGCTGTATGAGACAGGAAAACATAGCATGCAGACATTAGCGACAGGTCTTACAGGCGGAAAAGGCTTGCCAAAAGAAAAAAAAAACACACCACAACATCTCTCCTATTGGTGGAAAACTTCACCACAACAACCAATCCAAAATTATATGGTGACTGATTGACAAGGGGCGGGCGCTTACGTTCTTCCTGCAACATGAGAAGGGAGGGAGGGACTCTCAGCAGGGATGCAGTCTGGGACACGTAGTTGCAAACCTAGCGACTTTGTTGTTAGATTCAATGACTTTTCAGACACCCTAACGACTTTTTTTTAGAAAGAAAGTGACTTTTATCGACTTCTTCTGGAGTTTAGAGACTCTGACATGAAGCAGGCTTTCCATACTGAGGAGTTAGCAACGCTGCTAAGGGTGCAGAGCCACACATGCGCTCAGAGCTCTGCATGGGAGACTGAAGCTGACAGAGCTGCAGCAGTTAGCAGGTTTCACCCTCAGAGACCACCAGGGGTTCATGTTGAGGCATTTTAATTTTTTTTTTTTTTTGTGCCATAGACACTGTCAGCACAATCTGCAGTTACACTAACAAAAATGCTGCAAAAAACAAAGAATTATGGAAAAATTACACATGGACTGACATAGAGGAGGATCTACACAAGTTTTTTACATCATGTTTTACATCATGCATCATTTACATCATGTTTTTTTGTAGTGGCATAAATAAAAAGTGACATTTGTGAGACTATACAGTGTTTTGTAAATAATTTTACAAAGAACGCCTGGGCCATTGCCTGCATTTTGATGTAAATAGAGGTAAATTACTATGTTCTTTGTTAAAAATTTGCATATGTTTTGAAGTTTACAATTTTTATTTGAAGTTTAAGTTTTAAAAACAGTTCATCACACATATTTGTGGTTTAATTTCACATTAATTTCCATATTGTATAAATGACTGGAAAAAACTTGAGCCCCTGCCCCTGTATAATCATGTGCACGTCCCTGTTCTAGCTCCAAGGTGAATCTTCACTGCTCATGTTCTCCTCAGAAATAGTCACCTCACTCCCCTCAGGTTACTGTACACATGCACCAACTATCTGCTTCAGGTTTGAAATGGAGCTTCATGGTTGTCTTTTGGAGAAATGAACAGTCAAGTTGTGTTTGAAATTTGATTTTTTTCAGGGGCAAAAGGAAGCCTCTGCATTCTTGTCAAATATGTAAACAGCATGTTTTTGCAGGTGCTAAAAAACAGACTCTGAGTGTGTGTGTGTGTCTGTGTGTGTGTGTGTGTGTGTGTGTGTGTGTGTATGTTGGCGTGTGTGTATATGTGTGTGTATCCTGCAGTACTCTGTACTCCTGCAGTGGCCAAAAAGACTTTTAAGAATGTGGATTTTTGGGTCATCTTTGGCGCCCCTAGAACTGCAGTACTCTGTACTCCTGCAGTGGCCAAAATGACTTTTAAGAATGTGGATTTTTGGGTCATCTTTGGCGCCCCCTAGAACGTAAACCGTGGGGTGCAGCGTCATGATTTTTACAACTTTGAATGGGCATGGGGTGTAGATAGCCCTGAGCAAATTTGGTATCGGTGGGACGAAAGCCTTAGGAGGAGATAGCCACATTCCAATGTGTGCGAATCGGCAAAAAATGCAAAATAGCCCTTTAACCGTACATTATACAGATACGCGCTCTTTGACTTTTTCGTAGATCTAATTGAGATACACATGATTGTCAAATTTTGTGTCAATATGACAAAGCGTTCAGGCGTGACACTCAACAATGTGTATTTTTATGTAAGGGGACAAGAAAAAATTGCCTTTTTTCTCCTACCATGGGGGGGCGCTCTTTTGGGGAGTAAAAATTCCTTCACAAATGTGTTGATGGCTGGACATTGCATCATCCTAGAAAACTTGGAGGCCAGTGAGGACAGAAATAAAAAGTTATAAAACATTTAAGAATGTGGATTTTTGGGTTATCTTTGGCGCCCCCTAGAACCTAAACCATGGGGTGCAGCATCATGATTTGAATAACTTTTAATGGCCATGGGGTGTAGATTGGCCTGAGCAAATGTGGTGCCGGTGGAACGAAAGCCTTCGGAGGAGTTAGCGAAATTCCAATGTGTGCGTATCGGCAAAAAATGCGGAATAACCCTTTAACTGTACATTTGACAGATACGCGCGCACTGACTTTTTTGTAGATCTTATTGAGTTACATGTGTGTGTCAATTTTTGTGTCATTTTGACAAAGCGTATAGGCGTGACACTCAACAATGTGTATTTTCACCTTAGGGGACAAGAAAAAATGGAGTTTTTTCTCCTGCCATGGGGGGCGCTCTTTTGGGGAGTAAAAATTCCTTCACAAATGTGTTGATGGCTGGACATTGCATCATCCTAGAAAACTTGGAGGCCAGTGAGGACAAAAATAAAAAGTTATAAGACTTTTAAATATGTGGATTTTAGTGTTATCTTTGGCGCCCCCTAGAACCTAAACCGTGGGGTGCAGCGTCATGATTTTGATAACTTTTAATGGCCACGGGGTGTAGATTGGCCTGAATAAATGTGGTGCCGGTGGAACGAAAGCCTTCGGAGGAGTTAGCGAAATTCCAATGTGTGCGGATCGGCAAAAAATGCGAAATAACCCTTTAACCGTACATTTGACAGATACGCCCGCACTGACTTTTTTGTAGATCTTATTGAGATACATGTGTGTGTCAATTTTTGTGTCATTTTGACAAAGCGTACAGGCGTGACAGTCAATAGTGTGAATTTTCACCTTAGGGGGCGCTATGGAGCCATTTTGCATTTTCTTGTTTGGGCGACTTCGGAATATCAAATTTTTCACCAGGCCCGGTCGTCCTGCCAAATTTCCTGAGTTTTCGCCAGTGGGAAGTGGGCCATTTTCCAGTTCAAAGGGGAGGAAAAAGAAGAAAGAAAGAAACAAAGAAAAACCCCTACAGGAATAACAGGGCCTACGCCCGGCTGCTCTGCAGCTGGCTCGGGCCCTAAAAAGAAACAAAGAAAAACCCCTTGGGGAATAATAGGGCTCTCGCAGCTGCTTAGCAGCTACGCTCGGGCCCTAACTAGGACCCCGTTGGGGCACTGGCGGGCCCGAGCCGTGTCGCGTCCCCCCCCCCCCCCCAACGTGCTGCCTTCCCGTCCCATTTGTGTCCTCTGGCCATCGCCCTCTCTGTTAACGCCCATCACTGCAAAGACCCTTTTCCTTCATCGGTGTTTGCTGTTCTTCCTGCCAGTGCGTGTTGCTTTCACTTACACTTGCCACAGCCAGCCTCGTGAGTGCCTAGCCTATTGGATATCACTGTCACCTACACAGGACAGTCATTACCTTTCTATTAATACTTTGTGTTTTAATTTCACATTAATTTCCATATTGTATAGACGACTGGAAAAAACTTGAGCCCCTGCCCCTGTATAATCATGTGCATGTCTCTGTTCTAGCTCCAAGGTGAATCTTCGCTGCTCATGTTCTCCTCAGAAGCACTCACCTCACTCCCCTCAGGTTACTGTACACATGCACCAACTGCCTGCTTCAGGTTTGGATGGAGCTTCATGGTTGTCTTTTGGAGAAATGACCAGTCAAGTTGTGTTTGAAATTTGATTTTTTTCAGGGGCAAAAGGAGCCTCTGCATTCTTGTCAAATATGTAAATAGCATGTTTTTGCAGGTGCTAAAAACCAGACTCTGAGTGTGTGTGTGTGTGTGTGTGTGTGTGTGTGTGTGTGTGTGTGTGTGTGTGTGTGCGTGTGTGTGTGTCTATGTGTGCGTTCAAGTCACATGAAATATTTAACCGGATGTAGCTGCAAGACGGAGCCTCGTTGACTCTCCGTTTCAACTTATCTCAAAAGTGAGGACCTCAACCTATATACCAGTTTTTAAATTGTGTTGATAGGCCAAATAAAACCAGAGTTATGATAAATTATGTCCGCGATACTTGTTTTCTGCTTATTTTGATCACGTTCGGCGCTCGATCGCGCTGTATGAGACAGGAAAACATAGCATGCAGACATTAGCGACAGGTCTTACAGGCGGAAAAGGCTTGCCAAAAGAAAAAAAAAACACACCACAACATCTCTCCTATTGGTGGAAAACTTCACCACAACAACCAATCCAAAATTATATGGTGACTGATTGACAAGGGGCGGGCGCTTACGTTCTTCCTGCAACATGAGAAGGGAGGGAGGGACTCTCAGCAGGGATGCAGTCTGGGACACGTAGTTGCAAACCTAGCGACTTTGTTGTTAGATTCAATGACTTTTCAGACCCCCTAACGACTTTTTTTTAGAAAGAAAGGGACTTTTATCGACTTCTTCTGGAGTTTAGAGACTCTGACATGAAGCAGGCTTTCCTTACTGAGGAGTTAGCAACGCTGCTAAGGGTGCAAGCCACACATGCGCTCAGAGCTCTGCATGGGAGACTGAAGCTGACAGAGCTGCAGCAGTTAGCAGGTTTCACCCTCAGAGACCACCAGGGGTTCATGTTGAGGCATTTTAATTTTTTTTTTTTTTTGTGCCATAGACACTGTCAGCACAATCTGCAGTTACACTAACAAAAATGCTGCAAAAAACAAAGAATTATGGAAAAATTACACATGGACTGACATAGAGGAGGATCTACACAAGTTTTTTACATCATGTTTTACATCATGCATCATTTACATCATGTTTTTTTGTAGTGGCATAAATAAAAAGTGACATTTGTGAGACTATACAGTGTTTTGTAAATAATTTTACAAAGAACGCCTGGGCCATTGCCTGCATTTTGATGTAAATAGAGGTAAATTACTATGTTCTTTGTTAAAAATTTGCATATGTTTTGAAGTTTACAATTTTTATTTGAAGTTTAAGTTTTAAAAACAGTTCATCACACATATTTGTGGTTTAATTTCACATTAATTTCCATATTGTATAAATGACTGGAAAAAACTTGAGCCCCTGCCCCTGTATAATCATGTGCACGTCCCTGTTCTAGCTCCAAGGTGAATCTTCACTGCTCATGTTCTCCTCAGAAATAGTCACCTCACTCCCCTCAGGTTACTGTACACATGCACCAACTATCTGCTTCAGGTTTGAAATGGAGCTTCATGGTTGTCTTTTGGAGAAATGAACAGTCAAGTTGTGTTTGAAATTTGATTTTTTTCAGGGGCAAAAGGAAGCCTCTGCATTCTTGTCAAATATGTAAACAGCATGTTTTTGCAGGTGCTAAAAAACAGACTCTGAGTGTGTGTGTGTGTCTGTGTGTGTGTGTGTGTGTGTGTGTGTCTGTGTGTGTGTGTGTGTGTGTGTGAGTGTGTGTGTATGTTGGCGTGTGTGTATATGTGTGTGTATCCTGCAGTACTCTGTACTCCTGCAGTGGCCAAAAAGACTTTTAAGAATGTGGATTTTTGGGTCATCTTTGGCGCCCCCTAGAACTGCAGTACTCTGTACTCCTGCAGTGGCCAAAATGACTTTTAAGAATGTGGATTTTTGGGTCATCTTTGGCGCCCCCTAGAACGTAAACCGTGGGGTGCAGCGTCATGATTTTTACAACTTTGAATGGGCATGGGGTGTAGATTGCCCTGAGCAAATTTGGTATCGGTGGGACGAAAGCCTTAGGAGGAGATAGCCACATTCCAATGTGTGCGAATCGGCAAAAAATGCAAAATAGCCCTTTAACCGTACATTATACAGATACGCGCTCTTTGACTTTTTCGTAGATCTAATTGAGATACACATGATTGTCAATTTTTGTGTCAATATGACAAAGCGTTCAGGCGTGACACTCAACAATGTGTATTTTTATGTAAGGGGACAAGAAAAAATTGACTTTTTTCTCCTACCATGGGGGGGCGCTCTTTTGGGGAGTAAAAATTCCTTCACAAATGTGTTGATGGCTGGACATTGCATCATCCTAGAAAACTTGGAGGCCAGTGAGGACAAAAATAAAAAGTTATAAAACATTTAAGAATGTGGATTTTTGGGTTATTTTTGGCGCCCCCTAGAACCTAAACCATGGGGTGCAGCATCATGATTTGAATAACTTTTAATGGCCATGGGGTGTAGATTGGCCTGAGCAAATGTGGTGCCGGTGGAACGAAAGCCTTCGGAGGAGTTAGCGAAATTCCAATGTGTGCGTATCGGCAAAAAATGCGGAATAACCCTTTAACTGTACATTTGACAGATACGCGCGCATGGACTTTTTTGTAGATCTTATTGAGTTACATGTGTGTGTCAATTTTTGTGTCATTTTGACAAAGCGTATAGGCGTGACACTCAACAATGTGTATTTTCACCTTAGGGGACAAGAAAAAATGGACTTTTTTCTCCTGCCATGGGGGGCGCTCTTTTGGGGAGTAAAAATTCCTTCACAAATGTGTTGATGGCTGGACATTGCATCATCCTACAAAACTTGGAGGCCAGTGAGGACAAAAATAAAAAGTTATAAGACTTTTAAATATGTGGATTTTAGTGTTATCTTTGGCGCCCCCTAGAACCTAAACCTTGCGGTGCAGCGTCATGATTTTGATAACTTTTAATGGCCACGGGGTGTAGATTGGCCTGAGCAAATGTGGTGCCGGTGGAACGAAAGCCTTCGGAGGAGTTAGCGAAATTCCAATGTGTGCGGATCGGCAAAAAATGCGAAATAACCCTTTAACCGTAATTTTGACAGATACGCCCGCACTGACTTTTTTGTAGATCTTATTGAGATACATATGTGTGTCAATTTTTGTGTCAATATGACAAAGCGTACAGGCGTGACAGTCAATAGTGTGAATTTCCACCTTAGGGGGCGCTATGGAGCCATTTTGCATTTTATTGTTTGGGCGACTTCAGAATATCGAATTTTTCACCAGGCCCGGTCGTCCTGCCAAATTTCATGAGTTTTCGCCAGTGGGAAGTGGGCCATTTTCCAGTTCAAAGGGGAGGAAAAAGAAGAAACTAGGGCCCCGTTGGGGCACTGGCGGGCCCGAGCCGTGTCACGCCGCCCCCAGCGCGACCGCCTCCCCCACCCGATCGCGTCACACTCAAGGTCCAAAGATGGTGTGCGCACTTGTTTGTGGTCATTTACCATTATAATGAACGGGAGGCGCAGTTTCTACCAAAACGCTCGCTGCAGAAAAACTCCATGTCCTATTTGAAAAAAGTCTGGACCATGAGTGAGGGCACAAACACAGCTAAGATATATCCAAATGGCAAGTTGCTCCTCCTTTCGCTTTTGCCGAAAGAGCAGTGCGTTTGAGCCATTGAATGATGAACAGGAAAAACTTGACTTTATTCTCCTGCCATGGGGGGCGCTCTTTTAAAGAGAAAAAACTCCTTCACAAATGTGTTGATGGCTGGACATTGCATCATCCTAGAAAACATGGAGGCCAGTGAGGACAAAAATAAAAAGTTATAAGCCTTTTAAGACTGTGGATTTTAGGGTTATATTTGGCGCCCCCTAGAACCTAAACCGTGGGGTGCAGCGTCATGATTTGAATAACTTTTAATGGCCATGGGGTGTAGATTGGCCTGAGCAAATGTGGTGCCGGTGGAACGAAAGCCTTCGGAGGAATTAGCGAAATTCCAATGTGTGCGAATCTGCAAAAAATGCGAAATAACCCTTTAACCGTACATTTTACAGATACGTGGCCATTGACTTTTTCGAAGATCTTATGTAAATACACGTGTATGTAAAATTTTGTGTCAATACGACAAAACATACAGGCGTAGCACTCAACAATGTGTATTTTCACCTTAGTGGACAAGAAAAAATTGACTTTTTTCTCCTGCCATGGGGGGGCGCTCTTTTGCCGAGTAAAAATTCCTTCACAAATGTGTTGATGGCTGGACATTGCATCATCCTAGAAAACTTGGAGGCCAGTGGGGACAAAAATAAAAAGTTATAAGACTTTTAAATATGTGGATTTTACGGTTATCTTTGGCTCCCCCTAGAACCTAAACCGTGGGGTGCAGCGTCATGATTTGAATAACTTTTAATGGCCATGGGGTGTAGATTGGCCTGAGCAAATGTGGTGCCGGTGGAACGAAAGCCTTCGGAGGAGTTAGCGAAATTCCAATGTGTGTGGATCGGCAAAAAATGCGGAATAACCCTTTAACCGTACATTTGACAGATACGCGCGCATTGACTTTTTCGTAGATCTTATTGAGATACATGTGTGTGTCAATTTTTGTGTCATTTTGCCAAAGCGTACAGGTGTTACACTCAACAATGTGTATTTTCACCTTAGGGGACAAGAAAAAATGGACTTTTTTCTCCTGCCATGGGGGGGCGCTCTTTTGGGGAGTAAAAATTCCTTCACAAATGTGTTGATGGCTGGACATTGCATCATCCTAGAAAACTTGGAGGCCAGTGAGGGCAAAAATAAAAAGTTATAAGACTTTTAAATATGTGGATCTTAGGGTTATCTTTGGCGCCCCCTAGAACCTAAACCGTGGGGTGCAGCGTCATGATTTGAATAACTTTTAATGGCCATGGGGTGTAGATTGGCCTGAGCAAATGTGGTGCCGGTGGAACGAAAGCCTTCGGAGGAGTTAGCGAAATTCCAATGTGTGCGGATCGGCAAAAAATGCGAAATAACCCTTTAACCGTACATTTGACAGATACGCCCGCACTGACTTTTTTGTAGATCTTATTGAGATACATGTGTGTGTCAATTTTTGTGTCATTTTGACAAAGCGTACCGGCGTGACAGTGAATAGTGTGAATTTTCACCTTAGGGGGCGCTATGGAGCCATTTTGCATTTTCTTGTTTGGGCGACTTCGGAATATCAAATTTTTCACCAGGCCCGGTCGTCCTGCCAAATTTCATGAGTTTTCGCCAGTGGGAAGTGGGCCATTTTCCAGTTCAAAGGGGAGGAAAAATAATAATAATAATAATAACAAAAGAAGGAAACTACAGGAACAAGAGGGCTCTCGCAGCTGCTTAGCAGCTACGCTCGGGCCCTAACTAGGACCCCGTTGGGGCACTGGCGGGCCCGAGCTGTGTCGCGTCCCCCCCCAACGCGCAGCCTCCCCGTCCCATTTGTGTCCTCTGGCCATCGCCCTCTCTGGTAACGCCCATCACTGCAAAGACCCTTGTCCTTCATCGGCGTTTGCTGTTCTTCCTGCCAGTGCGTGTTGCTTTCACTTACACTTGCCACAGCCAGCCTCGTGAGTGCCTAGCCTATTGGATATCACTGTCACCTACACAGGACAGTCATTACCTTTCTATTAATACTTTGTTTTTTAATTTCACATTAATTT